ATTCTTTAGAAATAATCTTGGTGCAAATAAAACCGGACTTTTTACTAGTTTGGTCTTCAGTTTATTGAAAGCCTTGTCGCACTCTTTTGTCCAAATCACTTTTTCTTTTTTGTCTTTCCCCTTCAAAGCGTCTGTCAAAGGTGCCGCAATACGCGCGTAGTCTTTTATGTACCTTGCATAGTAACCCACAGTACGCAGTACCAATGGTAGGCTACGTATCTGTGTTTTAGTAGTGGGGAATCGGAAAATCTCCGATTGCTTGAATCTTGGCCTGACTAGGCGACCTTTTCCCAGACCCTACTTCATGACCTCAGAAATTTCACATGGTCTTGGGCGAATTTGCATTTCGAGGGCTTACGACAGTCGCCAAATTTAGCTTCCTGAAGGCGACCTAAAACCACATCCAAATCCTTCATATGCCTGTCCTAAGTCGGCGAAAAGACTGTGAATATCGTCAATATACGGTAGAACAAAATTGTCCAGCCCTCCTAAAACTTGAGCAATCAATTTACAAAAATAGAAAAGGCACATTTAAAAGCCCAAACGTCAATTTTCTTCAGGAATGAAAGATACCAAAAGGTGTCACAAAATGCGGCATACCTCTGTGCACGCTCTGTGAGTGGTATCCTGGAAAGTATCCTTTGGTTAGATCCATGATTGTGATAAATAGAGCTGCGTTGAGCTTTTTCGACAACTTCTTCAATATTGGGAAAGAGGGAAAAATTCGATCCATAGTTTTTGAATTTAATTTTCTGTTAGTTTATACAAGGGCGAGGATCTTTACCTGGGACCTCTACTAAGATCATAGGCGATGCATAATCAGATTGCTCCGACCTTCTATGGACTCCTAACATCAGCAACCGCCTAATTTCCTCCTTTAAGATGTCGGTTTGTCTCCGCTGACATTCGGTAAGGCCTGATCTCTAACCAGAGAGTCAATCCAACAATTTAATATCCATTTCGACTAAAGACGTACAGCTGGTGTCGGACGAAAACACCGCTCCATACTTTCCCTATAACTTCCTTGGAATTTTCCTATTCCTCTGCCGAAGCTCTTTCTCCTAGCTTACTATCTCCAACTATTTTCTAAAAGTCTACCTGAGTTGGAAACAGCCAAGGGATAAGGAATATCCACTTCTCCCTCGAATATCTTCCATGACCTTCCTCCATCACAGATTCACAAACTCGAGGGCGCTGATGAATAAGGTTTTCATCATCGAATTGACATGTGATAAATGGTATCACTGCTTAAGCTTACCCGGAATCTCTACCGTATAATGGCTTTCGGAAATCACACTAGTTACTTTACCTGGCACTATCCAGTTTATAGCCATTTTGCGTGGTTTAGGACGTGTGGCTAAAACAAGCACGAGATCTCCGACCTTAAACCTTCTCATAACAGCGTTGCGATCATACCAGAATTTCCTGTTTACTCTGACACTCTTTCATCCTCTCTACAGTCAGCTTCTGACACTTCTTTAATCTGTCTTATTAAGTCTAGAACATACTCGACCATAGTGGGGTCTGAACTTTTTTCCTCTAGCCAGTTTTCATACACAATCGTTTGAGGGCATTCTCAAATTTTTTCCGTGTACTAACTCGCAGGGACTAAAACCTGTGCTCTCATGGCTAACAGTTCTGAGGGCGAACAAAGCACATGGCAAACATTCTTCCCAGTCCTTCCCGCTTTCCAAGCACAAAGCCTTCAATACCCTTTTCAAGGTGGAATGCAACCTTTCAACAGAATTGCTTTGAGGGTGACACACAGAAGAATGATACACCTTAATTCCCAACTTGCTAAAAAACTCAGATGTAAGTTCACTGGTAAAACGATCTACCCAAATCACACTGAATTTCCTTAGGGTAACCTGGTGTGGAAAAGATTTGTATCAAGGCTTGAATCACACATTTAGAGTTTAAATTCTGTACAGGAATGGCATCTGGATATTTGGAAGCAACACAAATAGACGTAATTAAGTATTTATTTTCACGCGAACTAGGGATCAGAGGTCCTACTGCATCAATATTTAATCTGCTAAACACTTCTGATATAACAGGCACAATCTTCATAGGGGCTTTCTTTTTATCCTTATTGTGAACCTACACGTTGACGAATATCTCATGTCCTCACAAATTCTTCAATTTCCTGGTAGCAATTAGGCCAGAAATAGTGTGTCAAAACTCTATCCTTGGTTTTTGTTACCCCTAAATGACCAGAGATTTCCTCGTGGCATAACTTCAAGATCCCTTTCCCAAAAACGAGAAGCACACACAGCTGACGCTTATCTTCCCCTTTTTTAGAACCTGCCACTCTGAATAGTCTTTCCTTGACTATTATAAACTCTTTTTCATTTTCACTTTCCCCTTTCTTCCACAGGGTCGCTAAACTAGCACAAGTTTTTTGTGCTTCCAAGAATTCTGCTGGCGAAACATCCGCAAGGATAGACCTTTCTTCTAAACTGATGTTTGCAATTTTAATTGCCTCCTCCATATTACTGGTTAACTTCCTTTCTTCTGAATGCTCATTATTGATGGCCCTTTCACTTTCTATCTCTTTCTTTTCTTCCGATCTGGAATCTAAGTCTTTTGCACTCGCTCTCTGTAAACTCCTGCGCGCATGCACCTGCCTGACTACGAGTCTCCGCAGCATTCAAGAGAACCGGTCGTTCCCTAATTTCCTCAATCAACTATACAGTTTTATTCCCTAACAAATAGTACTCTTTATCTAACTCTACCTGAGTAACCGCTGCCTTTGTGGTGACCACACCAAAATCACCTTCAATGGTGACTATCGCCAAAGGTAAACATTTATATTCTGTGTCCAAAGGCTGTTTCACCCATACAGTTTTCCCTAATAAGTCACTAGTATTAATCCAAGTACTATTACACAGATCTATACCAGCTCCAGTATCTCAGATATTCTCTCTCTATCCCATTAATTACTGCTTTCTTGAAATACGGCTCAAAACATTTTCCTAAACTCTCCGTTCCTAGATTATTCATCAGATTAGCCTTATTCTTTTCTGGCGATGAACAGTTAGGTCGGATATGTCCGTCCTTTCCACATTGGTAACACCTTATTTTCCGCTGTTTCTCGAAACCTGCTTCATTGAAAACTTGCTTTTTTTAGGAGCCTCCACTTTTCTATGCTCCTCTGATGACCACTACTTTTCTGATTATAACTACAGTTAGAATTTATAATTGTAATGCTAATATGTATGTTTACTACTACTTTAATTTTCTTTGTTAGCTCTCGCATTTATTACTGTTATTCAAGTAATTAGCCTGCTTGTTAAATATTCTTTACTTGTTCTTGTGATTGTGATATGAATTTCTATTTCTTTATTTTTATTTTCTGCTTGGCTACAAAATGGCTTCGAGAAGTAAAATTGTAACCCTGTAGGCAACGGGGGTAAGAAATTTTGATTGGCGCAGTTGGACTATACCAGGACGAGGGGGGGATTTTCATCCACGCAGTTGGAGTACACCCGTCCATATGGAGCATTTTTAGCAATGCTGATTAAGATGGAAATATAGATTTAGATGAAAGAATATATAATCATTAAAATACCTAAAACTGGTTACCTACATGAACTTTGAGTATTCATTGTATTGTTCTGGACTACAGATTCATTGATATCTCTTTAAATGATCAATCATGATGAGTAGCTAGAAATTCACAATTTATTATAAAAATTCAGGATGCACAACACAATAAATAGCTGAAAGAGAATTCAGATAATTAGCAGTTCCTCCTTATTGTATGTGTAGCATAAATTTCTAGGAGTGTGGGGAATAATTCTTCTAGTGCTTCAAAAATGTATTTACCTGAAAGTTCATTAAGAAAGTTATCAAACTGGCAGCAAAAATTGTTGCTAAGGTCTGTCAGGGGTATATTTGCCCATATCTTGTTCTATTTCAGCTGTTTTTACAATTTAAACTTTGTTGGATTCAGAATTAAAAGGTTTACATTTCTGTATAAGAAATAATGCTTATATGCAAAATGTGATCACAAATTCAATTGAACATAAAATAAAGGCTAAAAGCAACAAATAAGTAAAACAATACAAGATATTACAACAGTAAAAAAAACTACTATGCAGTTGAAAGAGGTTTTTAAATGTTTACTGCAATGTACAGAAATAGAAGATTGACCATTTTATTTTAAATCAATAAAAATAATAATTTCTTTGTTGAGTTGCAACATAGTCTTGTAAATGAAGAATTATTTCAATGTTTTATTTTACTTGAAGTAAAATAGATTGTGGTTTTAAAGAAATGAAAATTAATTTTAATCATTTAATTTAGTCAAGTAGAATGTGTCTTGTGAATATAAAAATTTCTTTTGAGTCATAATATTTCTTGAATTTTTTGTGCAAATCTTTAAACTGGATGATCATTGAATTGGAAGAGGAACATGCCTGTGTAAAATTTAAAATTAGGTGACAGATTGCAATAGATTTTGAATAAAATTCTGTCAACCAAAACTAAAAGTGTTGAGTAATAATCCTCCCCCCTCCCTGGGAAGGAAAAAGACATGCATCTGACCACCTTAAAAATTTATACCATTTTAAGTTTTTTTTGGGAAGGGGGCTAATTTAAGTATATACATTCTTACTGTTATTCAAGTAAAATCCAATTAATGAAAAAAATGAAGTACCCTGAACTTGTAATATGTATTTAGTCTGCAGAAGAAAGACAGCCCTAAATATATATTCAGTATTGTATTTTTCAAATATCTAGATGTGCTATGATTCTAATTAGTCTACATGTTTTTGGGATTCTGCTGTTGACATTTAGGATTTTCCTCGCATTCTCTTCACATAATTGTATATTTCCTTTACACTCAGTTAAAAAAAAAAAAAGGCTTTGTATTTCTCCTAGTTTAAATATTACATTTATCTTGAATGGTATTAAGGTTTTATATTTGGTTCAAATATGTTATATACATAAATTATATTCCTTCTAATTTTTTTTTTTTTTTTTTTTTTTTTTTCCAGTTGGACCAAGTTGCACCCCTTGTTCGAGATCTAGCATTTGGAAAAAGAACTTGGGATGGTGCAAAGTGTTGCTATCCAAAGTTTGAACAACAAGAAGCTGCTAAATCTGGATAGTTCCTAAAAATACTGAATGGATTAATTATTAATAAAATGTTTTTACAATACACTGTTTTGTAAATGTTGTCATAAAAATGAACTAATAATTTAACAAACGCTGGGAAACTACAGAAATTTAGATATCAGATCTGAAATTAAAATCTTAATCTAATAAATTTAGTAGTTTGGAAAACTTAATCAAACATGGAATTCTGTGTCTTAACAATGAAAAAGTGAATGCAGTATTTTAGTATTTCATTATACTAGAACTTCTGAAATTAATGAATAGCTCTTCCCAGTTATATTAAATTAACAGTTCTAATATTAAAATGTATAATGTTATTCCATATCTGCAATTAGTGCTTCTTATTCTTAATTCTGTTACGCTATTTAAAGGTACGCTTCTGATTTTTAAAAATATGAAATGCTTTGAAGAAAGGTATACAGAATCTAAAATTATACAATATTACTAAAATTATTTATGCTGTTTTAATTTGAAGACAATTTCAACATAAAAATTTAACTTGCATTTGGAAGTAATAAAATCAAAATGTTCAACAATTCAGTAAAATATAACAAGAGTCATTTGTATATTTTATTTTAAACCAGCAACTCGAGGTGATTTTCCGCATATTTGATGAATTTCTCCCGGTTAATTTAAAATAATTTCGCACACAAATAAAAGAAATCTGATGTTTCTTTAAGTTCTGAAGATACTTCCAGTCCTGCTACTCATTCACCATACACAAACGGTATTTGTTTGGATTCTGTGCACATTGTTCATTCTGAATTTTCTGTCTTTTCTGCGGAATCACTGTCACGTTCACGTTCACTATCTATTACCTTGATTTGCTTTCCTTCTCTCTATCATCAAATAGTCTATGCTCTGACAAAATTTCGTTCTTCAACAAAAAATCGAAGTCATCTTCACTTGAACCGATTCCTTAATTATACTGCATGCTTACTGGGCTGTGTAGCTTTTAACAGCCAATAATGAACACAATCTTTTTATGACCTTTAGGATATATATTGACTATGAACAGCCATTCTTCAGGTTTTGTAATTACATCGTAAATATACATATAAATGCATATATTTTCTTTTTCTATAATATTTCAGAGCCCTAAGTATATGAAAAGAATACATTTTTAATATTTCTGAACAGAATGAAATGCTATACTTTTCACAGAACAGTTTGCTCAGAACGGTTTAATTTGAATTAAATATTTTCATGTTTACATTATTACATTAGAAAACAATTTTCAGGTAATTCGATTTTATTCAGTTAAAGATTCCAAAAATTAAGATCAAAGTTTATTGTATTATTAATATTAAAATTATGCATTATTTCTTTTCTATTTATAGAGCTTCTTCCTAAAATACTTTCTCAAATATGACGTGATTTTTAGCTTCTGACGCATCTTTTAAATCGAAACATCCAAGTAACATAATTAATGCTCTATTCGGTCAATTTCCAATTAGAGCACCTTTTATTTTAATAGCAAAATATGTTAAATAGTATGTAACTTTCTCTGAATAATTCTGAAAGGGAATAAAGGATTTTTTAAAAATATTATTTAAAACTTATAATTTATTATAAAATGTAAGGGGAATAATTCTTTTAATTATACTTATCAGATATTTTTACCCTTAATTTCAAAAATACATATTCTAAAACTTTTCTTTATTAATTTTTTAAGTACACATCTCGTAGAATTTGCTTTACAATAGCTTTTAACAGATTGCTTTCCAGTACGAACAATCGGTAAGAGGACCATTCATGATCAGACCTCCTCTGGCAGGACTCTATTTAAGGATGGTAATTGCGTGCTATACAATATGTGTTTGGATATCCTATAGCTAAAATTACATTTTTCATACAGTTTGGTATGGATTTAACTAGCTTTTTTTTGCATAAGAATGCTCTATTTTTTAGTAATCCCCTGCAAAAATTACTTTTAGTAGAGACATGTTTCTGTTTTCTTACTATATGTGTGATGATATTTAAGTTTGGAGAATATGAAGGAATTTAGATAGCTTGAGAACAATTGTGTACTAATCACAAGCGAACATTTAGGGCTGTATGTTGTTGCTTATGCCCACTTGTCTAATGTAGTGCCAAATCGCACTAACAGATGGCAGTGCAATTTGGCTTAGTTCCGCCCCCAATTTTGATGGAGAGCACTTCGAGTGTCTTCCACCAAATCGCACGAAAGGACTTTCGGCTCACCGCATATTTAGAGTGCCGCACTGACACCATGCATTTACGAACATCTATGCCTTTTCCAAGATTCGAACCCGAACCCTTCGGCACGGCAGTCAGCGACGCTAACCACTATACCGGGTGGATGGCAGGGCTGTATGTTTAGTATCGTTATCACGTATTAAGTTGTGACTCATTGGCAATTAGAAAATTTAGCAACAAAAATTAGCAACATTGTTGTGATATAGTTAATACAGTCAAAAGTCGTTAATCTGGACTCGTCGGGACTTCGGCGATTCCGGATTATCGATTTTCCGGATTATAGATCATCAGTTTAAATCTGGTAAGATGGCATGCAGAAGTTATAAAATAAAAAATATGAAACCATAATTTATGAAATAAAGAACAATTATAATCTAAAGGGTATCAAAATTTACAAAAAAAAGCTTAATATTTATTTGTTTACTTTATTAAACATTTCTTTCAACGTAAGTTGTTTAGGTTGCTTCATTTTTTATGTGATAATACTTTCTCTTTAATTCTATAAACAGACATAATTTCTTGTTCAGTTTCCGCTGTTCAAATCCTGTAATTGCTGTGTCGAGAATACCGACTAATTTGTCAATCGAAATTTTTTCGTTTTCAATAACCTCTGTGTCACTTTCTTCACTATCGGAATTTGATTTAAATCATATCAAAGACGGAGTACATTGAGATGAAAATACTACATTTAGTAAGGAATTATAAGCCAAATAAAATAAAAACATCTGCCCTGAAGATAAGGATAGTGCTGACAGATCAACTTCCAATTCATTGGGCACCGCGGTGTGAAATTGATAAACAGATTTCAGAATAGTTAGAGAAACAAAGGATATGCCTTTATCCATTTTTTGCAGCAATTCCACTTTTTGTTTGATGGACATAGAAATATACTTTCGCTTTGTAGATCCTTTGGGAGCTCCAGCATTGGAAATTCTATTTGACATAATCGAAAGTTCAAGCTTACTTTTATAAAATTGCTCTTACAGTCTGCAAAAAAGAATAAGCCGGATCCAATTCGAAGATTAAGGAACAACTCAATCTGCAACATTAACTGAAATAGATAATTTTAGCTTATACCATCCGTTATACATTAAACGCACATGCGTAAACGCCTATGCGCGTGCATGCGCAACGCATGCGCAGAAAGTTTGTACCTTTGAGGTCTGGATTATGGGTGTGCGAATTAACGACTTTTGATCGTATTTGCGAAATGCCAAGCATATTTTCTTTGCTTTCATATTGACGAAGGATTCCCTTGCAGATCTCCCATTGTATTCATGTAACAGTTTCAGAGATAATATTTATGAAACATGTTCTTCTATCTCCTCTAAGCTTCACAGCATTAATATTTGGGTTTTGTTTGATTTTTTTTTAGAATAAATCTCCAACTCCTTCATCTTGGAATGTGGTCCTGACTTTGATGCATTTTGAACAGTTTCATGCAGTTTCCATTATTTAATAACATCAGAAATAGTTGAAAACTTTACACTAAGAATTACTTGGATGTTTGGAATACTTTTACCATATTAAAAATGATGAATAGTTAAATTTCTAACAGAACTTGTTAGTTTGTAGCGTCCTGTCATGTTCAATTCATATACGGAATTTCAACATATTTTGTTAAACAAGTTGTAGAGACATTAGGTTATTTCGAAGGAGAAGACATGAAAAATGAGTATTGCCCTCGCCGAGACTCGAACCACAAACATCTCGAATACCCGTCGAGCGTGCCGACCACTACACCATGAAGGCATGCTAAGAAGGCGGGAGAAATTTCTTATAACTCCCCTTTTAAAGGGCGACTGAGGATTAGGAACCCAGTCGCCAAATCCTGGTGGTGGAGAATTATCATCCACCACCGTTTTTTAGTTCGGGGGCCACTGTAGAAACATTAGGGTTTTTTGGAAGCAGGAGAGATGAAAAATGAGCAATGCCCTCGCCAGGACTCGAACCACAGACCTCTCGAATATGTGTTCACTGCACCATGAAGGCAGGCTTAGTAGGCGGGAGAAATACCTAATAAATTAATAATATCCAAATGCAGACTGTAATTCATGTGATTTATTTTGATTTAAAACAAAAAATGTGACAAGAAATTTCATCTGTTAAAATATTTCAACAAAAGTTTCAAGTGTCCAAATTACTATGCGAGCTACCAATGCGTTCGAATAATTTATTGTTACAAGGAATATTTTGATATTTATTTTGTAACCATGAGCCACTGTATTTCTCGTTAATGGCCATGCTTCTGTTTAACCCTTTGTGGCGCATTATACGTTAACGTCGGAATTTCAACAAAAAACGTTGTATGCAGTCTATTTAGTCCTAAAGGAGTATACAAGTAAAATTTTGTAAAAGATGCACTTACCGATTTAATTCTGTAGGTGTTCCATGAGGTGGAACACTGCGCCGCCAGAGCTTTCAAAAGTGCGACTAAGCGAGCATTGCAGTGAAGCACGAAAATGAGTAGAAGCGTTTGTATAAGAATGAAAAACTCTGTATTATGGCTGTATACATGGTTTCCTGGATATACACAATATTCTTGAATATATACGGATAAATATCTATATACACAAGTCCTATATACAAAAATATTTACAAATTTTCGGAAAGAGCGCTTGGGAAAGAGTTAGACCTCTCCGCGCCATTTATGGAAAATTAATAATAAAAAAAATTAACTACGATTAATATTAACAATAAAGAAAAATAAGCCTATAATATATACATACACGAAAAATATAAACACAATTATTGAAAATAAACGGGAATGAGACTAAAAAGCGACAGCAAAAAATTCGTTCTATTCTAAGTAAAGATGAGTCAAG